ATTCATTGCTATTAGTACTACGATAGTGATACCAATATGAATGAGGCACTTGCCAGGGCCTGACACTCTTCTAAGCCCTTGAAATGTATTAACTCACATTAAAACATGCAAACTGACAGGCTTTACCGAGAAGGCTGCTGAGACACAGGGCTCCGGTAATGTGACCACTTAGCTGGAAGGGCCGTTGAATGGCCTTCTGAATTGGATGATGCTCAACAAACTTAGTGGGAGCACTGTCACCAGAATAGCCTTGCTTTTGCTATTCCAACTGAGAAATGGGGGCTCATATCTTCTTCTGGGGTGATGCAACAGAACCTTCCATCTATGGTGATGGTCAGAAGCAGATCTATTGTTATTTCTAATGGAGACTCTGAAAAGCCATTTATGTTTGAACCTTAGACACAGAAGGACCATCACTATAGTCAAGTACTGATTTGTGAAAAAGCTGGAAATATGAGCATGAATCAAAGAACATTAAGATTAGAAATTTTTATGGGCAGGGATAATACCTTATATTTTAAAAATATTTCTCTCAAAGTCACTCCTTGAACCAGGATTGAGTTGAAAATACTCCTATTAGATATTGGAAACACGGAATCAGTTTGAGACACATGTACTTTTCCTGCTAAATCAGTAAAATTATTCTGCAAAGAGATCCATGAATTTGGTGTTACTTCTTACTATATAAACTTTTCCTGCTGAAACCTACTGTTGACTGGGGTTAGTGAATAATTATGAGGATGTATTGGAGTCTATTTTTTCTAATTTGAAATATTATTAGTAAATACATAAATGATTAAGGTAGATCAAAGGACAGTAATGTGAAGTCATTTGATATTCAATAGAAAAACCTGTTAAAGGATTGTGTCCAAACCATAATGAGGCTTTTGGGTCTGTTCAACCATCACTAAAGTGATTGCTTTTTGTAATAAAATATAAACAAGAAAAATGTGCATCTAAAATATTTTGGAAATTAACTATTTTCCTATGTTTCTGCTCTTTTTAAAGTGTTGTTTCTAGTCTGGAGACATTGTTAATAGTCTTTAAACATGTATATGTTTCACCTTTATTACCAGAGAGATGTAAATGAGGTGTTACAAACATTAATAACTTTAAAAATAGTGACCATATTTGCTTATTGAAGCTTCACATTTACCCTCATTCTGAAAGCATAATCTAAGGAGTGTTGTGAAATATGAGGCATGTTTTAGCTCATCTGTGGCTGAAGAGGTCAGTCTCAGAGTTAGATTGGGCCATTAATGGACTATTTCCTGAGTGCTTCAAGTGTACTAGTACTGTGCTGAGTGTGGTATCATGTACATTACCTTGTACTTCTCACAACAGTTCTCTAAGAACCAAGGTGCTATTATCCTCATTTCACAGATTAGGAAACTAAGGCAATTTGACAAGACCATTTAACCAGTAAGTGTGAATCAGGACAACTGATTATCTAATTCCAGAGTCTATGCCCAGATCACTAGGATTCTAATCCAAGGCTTTCCAACTTTTTCACATCAGTTCACGAACAGGAAAGGAAAATTCATAGATAAACACTGGAATTCACTTAAAAAGAGCAGGTTCTGAAGACAACCTTTCCTCAATGCCCTCAGGGCTAAGGGGAATCAATATCCTGTGGCAAGTTTTAGCAACCTCAGAGGTGTGTCTTAGCACAGGTTAGGAAACTCTTAGTGATTTCAATTGGTCTGGGGATGTGGGGTTGTCTAGAGATCAGTTCAAATTAGTAAAATATTTGCATTGTAGGATATATAAGAAATTTGCTGGTTAATTTATTATAAGGATGATTTAAGTGTTTGAAGGGGGCTTGGAGGCCTTCTTACCCTCAAATTAAAGAAAGGCTCCAAAGTAGTGGTTTTCAAACTTTCGGAAATCAACACACCTTCTTTTTCAAATAAATTTGTCAGTGATAAGCCAATAAGTAAAATCAGATAAAAAATGATGCTGCTTTGACTGGTGGTGGTAGTGGTGGTGGTGGGGGTTTGAACCTAAGCTTCTTGCATTCATTCTCCCTCCCTACCCCTTGCCAACCCCAGTTTTAAAACCACTGCATGAAGAAGGGTTATCTCTCAAAGTTTGTTCAAATGCAGAAATCTCTACTTAGGTGATAGAAAAGGAGGAAGTCAGGGGAGATTTGCTTAAGAGATTATTTTCTAAGTGTTAGTAGCTGGGAGTTGGACTGGTGGTGGGGGGGTGCAGGCAGTAGCAAATGTGCTCACACAATGTGTTCCCACAGCCAGCAATGACAAGCTTCATTGGGTGAGGGGCCACTCAGTCCTGTGCAGCCCCTTCTTGTCAGTTCACAGCCCCTACGGGGTTGAGATCTGTCCTACTTGTCTCTTGTGGAGAGAGTGTGAACTGGGAGGCTTCTATTTAATTCTCCCACTTGGTGTGAATGTAGGCAAGTTGGACAAACATTTTCAGCCTCAATTTCTCATCCATAATATGGAATAACTCCTGCTCGACTTCTTTGTCAGACAAAATAAGGTATATTTATTGTGTCTATTTATATGTTTATACATGCACCAGCTATGAAGTTGTTTCAGTTCAAATTTTTAAATGGGCAAAAAATTTGAAGGGATACTTTACCAAAATGATATACTGCTGGTGAATAAGCACATAAAAAGATGTTCTTATTAATTTCATTAGTGGAAAAATGAAAATTAAAACTAACTTAAACAGCAATAATAGCACGAATGAAAACAACTGGCAAGAATATGGAGCAACTAAACCTCTCACAGTAGCTGTTGGAAACGAACAACTTCTTTACAAAACAGTCTGGCAATTTCTTAAAAAGTTAAAACATTTAGTTTCCAACCAACCCAGCCATGCCACTCTGAGTTGCCTTCCTGAGTAAGATCAAAATTTATCCTCATACAAAAACCTGTATGTGAAGTTTCATAGTGACTTTATTATCACTCCTAACTGGAAACCCCTGAAATGTCTATCTACTGCCAAGTGGATAAACACTCTGAGTACAATAGTACTCAGCTCCGAAATGAAACAAATGACATGCACTAAGCAACGGCAATGAATCTCAGATACATTATGCTAGTGAAGGAAGCCTGATTCAAAAGGTGATGTTCTAGTGATTCCATCTATATGACAGTCTCAAGTAGGCAAATGAAAGGAACAGAAAACTAACGTGGTTTCCAGAAGTTGGGTGTGGGAGGGGTTTAACCACAACAGAGAATGAGAGAATGCTAATAGGTTAGGGTCTGTTCTGTATTTTGATTTTACTGTATATAAATTAAACCTTGATTTAAGAAAATGGGAGAAAATTAATGGTGCTGATAAAGTGTTTTTAAGCATGGCTGAAGAAGTCTTTTTAAATTGGTTACACCTTTTGCAAATAATGTTCCCATCACTACTTTGCTTGGTAGCCTCCCTCTGCGTCCCTCACCATTGGACCAAGATAAGCCTCAGCCCAATGAAACCGATAATGAATTTTGAGTTCACAGAGTTAGAATAATCTGAATTAAAGAAGTTTTACTTTAATCTATAGAGGGCACCTTTAATCTTAAAGCTTTTCTAGAATCATGCTCTTCATCACAGAAATACAGCTTTGTCTGATGTGGCAGAGAGCCTAACTAAGGGATGAGAATCATCAGTCAGAGGTACCTATCTCCTGGGAAAAATGATGGAAACTGATGATAGCCACATCTTGCTAAAGATGGAAGAAATGAAAGTCAGTTACTCAGAGGATATTCGCACAGGGCTGGGATTGAACCTCATGCATGCAGGACAAGCACTCCACCACTGAGCTACACTCCAGCCCTCAGAGGATGCTCTAGGCGCCAGCTTCTGGAGTTACTTAATCACAGTCTTCCTCAGGAGCCTCTCATCTCCTCTGTAAATCATTCACAGACAGGACTCAGACATCACATTAATTCACTTCTAGGGTAAAGCCCACATGGTGTATAATAGGTGATATCCCAATTCTGTTCTGTACCTAGCTTTATATTTTGTCTTTCTTCTCTTTGTCCTCTACTGCCCCCCTCTCTCTCTGTTGGTCCAGTACCTAGCTGCTCTATTCATTTTCTTTTTTTATATTCAACAAATTGAGCATCTACTTTTTGTCTTTGCACTATGAAACAAGCACTATTTCTGTCTACATGGGCTTTACTATCATAGTGGAAGAAGAGGCTGAAATAGGTAACAAGAGAAACTGTGACGTGAGTCAGTGTAATGAGGAAAGATAACGTTTAGGAGAAGAACTATGGGGTGCTTGGCAGGGACCCGAAGGAGGAGCAGGTGGTTGGTCACTTGAACCATGAACACTCTAGGCAGAAAGACAGGGGTTGGCAGAGGGAGGCTACCAAAAGCAGAAGAGGGGAAGCATGAGACCACCTGGGGCTTTTATAAGGAGTTTGAATTGTGTTCTGAGTGTGACAGAAACCACTAGATGGTTCTTAGCAGAAAGACCAACAAGCTGCTGTGTACGGAATGGACTGTAGGTGGAATCACAAAGCCCAGTCAGTCAAGAGACTTTTGTGGTAGTTTGGGCAAGAAATGATAGTGCTTGGACTTGGAGCAGGGTGGTGAGAAGAGGTTGGATGCAGGAGGTGTTTTTGAAGACAGGCTGAATTTGACACCCACTGATGGATTGCATATGGGGTACAAGGAAAGAGAGCCCAGGGATTTCTTTTATACTCATTCACTAGAAAGTGTACTGGTTTTTACACAGGCTTGTGCAAGTCACTAGAGAGGTAAAGATGAACAAGACACAATTAGTGCCTTCAAGGAAATCAGACTGTGCTACTTTGGATTTCTAGATTTATGGAGGTCAGCCAGAGTGCCTGCGGAGGAGACAGGAAGAGAAGAGATTGTTTTGTGAATAGGACTTCAGGAAAGTTTTAGTTTGTGTTTGGAGGGAGATTAACAGTTCCACTAATGCAGAGTAGGGAAGAGTATTCCAGAAAGTGGAGTCAGCAAGTGCAGAGGTCCAGGGCGTTGGGGGCGGGGGGCGGGGGTTGATGTGGAAATGGGGAGGGGCACTTGGTAGTGATGGCAAAGGAGTCTTGGGAGGCAGGTTGTCACTAAGGAGTGAGAACTTCTCTCTGAAGACAATGGGGACACCAGGAGGCTTTCAAGCAGGAGAGTGATAAGGGTGATCCGTCCTTTTTATCTAAACAGGTAAGTTAATTTACTGTTATTGACAAGTAAATTATACTTAAATTAGAACTTACTTAATGTGTGTTGCTTCAATCAGAGCCTTGTTTTGTTTTAGATGCTTTTATCAACAAATGGAATTTCCTTTTACTTTATTGGTATTGGCAAGCAGAAGGATAATAACTCTTAGGGTAGAGAAATACTATTAATCTTGTGGTTAATTAATATTGAATATCTACTCTGTCCCAGGCACTATATTAAGGGTTGGGAATTCGGCATAAAAGAAGAGAAGTCCTTGCTCTTACGGAGCTTACTCCAGGAGGGAGACATAGAACAAATGATATCAAATCTCATCTATCAAAAAATAAAATAAAACAAGGTAGCCACAGAAGTATTTATTGGGGAGCTAATCTCATTTAGGAATTCAGGGAGGAAATAACTTTATTTCAGGGAGGAAATAAATTTATTGGGGAGCTAATCTCACTGAGGAAATAACTTCAAGTGAGGACTAGGTTGATTATAATTTTATTATTAGCAGGAAAATCATCTCCTATTTCTTTAATAATTAGCCTTTCTTTCAAGTGGTTCTTCTATTTTGGAGCATGTCCAGATCTTGCCTGCTTTCAAAAGAGATAAGACCAAATATCTCATTTTTATATTCCCAAATTGAGCTTTTCATTATTTTAAGAAATGTATTATTATTTTTCACAACAGCTATGCAGTCTTGACTTGCCTACATTCATACCTTTGCTCATTCATTTGTTCAAGCTCTGTGCACAGAATATGAAGGGACTCTGAAAAGGGGGTCATGGACGGATAAGATGAGGTGTGGAGTGACAGGCAATGAAGCCACAGAGAGTTTTCTTGACTGTAGGACACACACAGGACTAGTGGGTCTATTGTGCAGGTGTTGGAGAATCACTGGAAGATTTGAAGCCTGGTCTTCAAAGACATGTGTTATGTCACTGGCATGGAGAACAGAGTGAGGGACAAAGATGGGGATATGACACTGGGGCAGGAGTCACAGCTGCAGGCTGCTCTGCTGTGCAGGGGAGAGATGAGAAGAAACAAGGACAAGGCAGGAAAGATCAGTTACAGAAGGTGTGCAGAAGGAAGAACAACAGGACTAGATGTGTGAAGGTGGGGGAGGGTGAGTGAGGGGTCCCGAGTGGCTCTCAGGAGTTCAGCTTGTGTGACAGGATGTTGGTGTCTATGACTGAGACTGGGAATATAGATTGGAGGACAAGCAGGTTCAGATCTCCCCAGTGAGGACATTTTGAAACCTTCATTAACATCCTCCTTTCTCTTAATCTCTTTAGTCTTTCATTAAATTCCCTCTGCATTTATTTCAGAATGCCCATGGGCTTCACCCCACTGTTCCAAGGCTGACCTTGACCCTCATTACTTTAACCTTAGATAATTAGGGCATCATCCTGGTTCGCTGTCTTGCCACTAGCTTCCCCTCTTCAGCCCATTCTGAATCCTGAAATACATCCTCTTTTTTTGACATCTCATCATGGGTTCTTTTTTTCTTTTTTAACTTCAGTTTTTGTCTTGATTCATGTGTTTATTCACCTTTTATGTCTTTCTTTGGCCATTAAGTTATAAGTTCATTGAAGATAGAAACTGTGTTTTAAATCTTCCTTGTATTGTCAGTAGTGCCTACCAAAAATCTTGCCCAGTATATCTGTGTTGATTAAATTTTGCTTTAAAACCAGTAAGAATTCATTGTAGTAGATATGACTATGAAGTCTCACAATTCAAAGCATTTTAAAAAAAAATCAGGTATTGGGCTGTGTGCGTGCTTGGGTTTTAAGTTAGGTCATCCAAGTTCTTGCTAATAGCAGCCTGAGGTAGATCAGCTACTGAGTGGATTCCATCTTAACAGCTTGTTTTGTAATATCAGTATTCATGAACACCACAGACACAGAAGAGACTTGAAATCTAGAGTTGAGGCAGTATAGATCTAGATCTTAGCATTATTATTAACCACTTGTGTGGTTTTGGGGAAATTACTTCTCTGAGACTGATAAAATATCTACCTTAGAGATCTTTCATGAAAATTAAAATCATGCACACTTTTATAAAGTTAAATGAGCATCTAACACATTTTTGGCACATAGTAAGCACTTGTAAAAACAAATGATCATGGTAAAAACCAACTGACATTCACTGGGCATTTATTCTTCATGCCAAGTGCTCTGCATGCATCCTGTCATTTAAATTTCACAGCAAACCTATGAGGTCTTTTTATCTTCATTACACAGAGGAGGAAACAGAGGCTCATAAAAGTTGAGTGGCTCATCCAGGGATTGTCCCTTTGACCCTCTGTAGTCATTGGGTAACTTTTGTTTAAAGTTTTCATAAAAAGCAAAAGGAGAGGTGTGAGTCTGCCACTTTTTTTTCTCAATATCCTGCAGAAGATGCTATGAGCACAGCAATGGCTCTAGGGACAGATGAACAGTTGGAGATTCTGGTAGATCTGCCAGCTTGGTAACCCACCTGTGCAGGAACCACGGCCAACACAGCATCCACACAAGGTTCTATCATAAAGGAAAGCAGGGGCTGCTGCAAACAAGCCCTTCGGCAGGTGGAGGCCCTGGCTGTGCATGGCCTAGCTGGGGATTCTAAACTTAGGGCCCAGAGGCGGCTGTGTCCTTCCTTCCAGCTGCAAGCTACTGGTTTTTGCCTCTTTCCTTTCCTGATGATGATACAGGAAAACTTTACCTCCTTCCCATGGGGATGTGAAAGCCCCTGTATCTTCCCTGCTTTGGTAACAAAGGACAAAAGGTAACACTATTTGGAGCCAGCATCTGTGTTCAGATCACAGTTCTCAAGGTTGGGATTGGGGTCTATGGGACGTGATGAACACAGGTGGGAAGAGAGGGAAAGGACAGGATCCACGGTTGGACTACATTAGAGACTAGCTGAAGACAGAAATGGCCTGGAGCCAGGTAGGTCAAGGGCAGTGGGGGTGGGAGAAGTGGTGAGTTTGCCTGACCTTAAAAAGGAGACTTTTGGCTAGGGTCTAATAAAACCTGCCTATGAATTTTTATTTCTGCAGACAGTCCCAGGTCTTCCTAGAAAAAAAAAAGTGACTGGCATCATTTTCTGTAGATTTTAGGACTCATATATAGTGGCCTATTTCAAGCAGGTTTAATCTCATTTTAGCCAAAGATAAGATTGTTTATGGAGCCATTTCTTCAGCAATAAAATTGAACTGGAAAGAAATATCAGAAACTATCTGACTGTCTTTGCAGACGATAATTTATGAGGGCCTTAAATTTTTACCAATTTGTGTGTGAACATGTACCAAGACCCTAATGTATCAGCACCTCAAATGAGGGCTGCAGACAGGCAGAGAGCCATGGGATGGCTTGGGAAAGGTAGCTGAGTAGTAGCTGACAGGTAGTGACAATGGTAGCTGAGGGCACAGGGGTTGTGTGGATGGCCTGCCGTGGAGAGGTCCCCTTTCGGTGTTCAATGCCTTCTCTGAAGAAGTAGGAATTGGTTCCTGGGCTGTGTGCACATTTGGAAACACAC